TGCCCTCGCCCTCTTCTTCTCTCACCCATGGGATCCATGTCTTCTATTGCCCTGTAAGTCTCCTTCCCCATTACCCACTTTTGGATTCTATATTCTTCTTAATTACCCATTTCGTTTTCAGCAACTTATTGGAAAAAAAACCCAAACTTTTCTATTGAAAAGGGAATGATTTTGATTTTGTTTGGTGGAAATGGAATATGGATTGAAATTTGTTTTTGATGTAGGATGCAGTTGGGATTGTTGCAAAGCTGTCGGATTGTATTGCTTCCAGAGGTGGAAACATACTTGGGGCTGATGTTTTTGTCCCTGAGAACAAGAATGTGTTCTATTCTCGAAGGTATTCTTTTTTCCTGTTTTGTCATATTGGTTTGAGAGAGAAGGGATTTCTGTTAGCTTTACCTATTGTTTTGCCAATTTTTCCAGAAAAGAAAATGGAAACATTATTGATTGAGTGGTTGTAAACTTGTCTTGCCCTAAGCTCTAGGTGAGATGAAGAGGGGTTTTTTCTGTCATCTCAAAAAAAGAAACAATGTCTGCTGCATTTGGTAATCAACTTTACTTGATTGGTCTCAGTATTTTGAGTTTACCTGATGAAAAGCCTTTTTAGGAAAACTAAGTACAGGACAAATGTACGTAGTGAATGTTGCAAATTAGAATTAGGTTGATATTGGAATAGTGTGTCTCACACACGTGTCTATTCAGCTATTGAGCTATATATTGGATAGTAATTAGTTTATCTGCACTATTGATAGAGCTGGATCTTATACCATGTCAAATTGCAGCGAGTTTGTATGTGATCCTGTCAAATGGCCACGGGAAAAAATGAATGAAGACTTTCTTAAACTGTCAAAAATGTTCAATGCAACAAGATCTGTTGTCAGAGTGCCTGATCTAGACCCCAAGTTTAAAATTGCTATTCTGGCTTCAAAGCAGGTATATATTGTTAGTCCATTCCTATTTTAGTTTTGGGTTTTGCATAATGAAATGAAAAATATCTTTATCTTGGTCCAGGATCACTGCCTGGTGGAATTGTTACATGGATGGCAGGATGGAAAGCTTCCAGTTGATATAACTTGTGTGATAAGGTGATGTGTAAAAGTTTGATCCCATTAACTGATTCCTTTCCATTTTTATTCTTCCAAAAGCTCTTTATTTCCCTATTTTCCTTTTACATTTAGTTTGCTGATTCAGGTTAACATTTAATTTTGTCAGCAATCATGATAGAGGTCCAAACACCCATGTGAGTCGCTTTCTTGAAAGAAATGGTATTCCATACCATTATTTGCATACTTTAAATGAGAATAAAAGAGAAGGGGAGATCTTAGAGTTGGTTCTGGATACTGATTTTCTAGTACTTGCCAGGTACATGCAGGTAAATGACATTATAAGATTTTTCTTTTCTTATCCTGTTTTAGCGTAAAAAAATTTAGTTATATTCAAATAATTGAATCAACTAGTTCTATGTTAGAAACCTTGAAAATCAATTTATCCTTGCAGATATTATCTGGTCATTTCTTGAGGACTTATGGAAAGGATGTAATTAACATTCACCATGGCCTTCTGCCATCATTTAAGGGTGGCCGTCCATCTAAACAGGTGAATTTTGTCTATTTTCTTACCTTCTTCATCAGTTATAAAAAATTTTCTATTCTTAACTGTTTTACTGCTTCTTCCCTAACTCTAAATACATGTTTAATTTTCTAGATTATTTTGGCAGGCTTTTGAGGCAGGTGTGAAATTAATTGGTGCAACAAGTCACTTTGTCACTGAAGAACTGGATTCAGGGCCTATTATTGAACAGATGGTATTCCCCGTAAAACTTTACTGACTTTACTGGTTCTTGTGTAGGTAGATTGCCATTAGGGATGATTATTCTATTCTTCTGTCGAGTTGCAAATTAAAATAATTGAGAATGCTTTTTCAGAATGTGGCCTTTGCTGATAATTCCTGGAAAAAATTCTTGTCGAACAGAAAAGCTAACTTTCCTTCATGTAACAAAATCAAGGATTTATTTTGGTTATTGATTATGTTAAAAATGATGTGGCTGAACCAAATCACGTTTGGTCTGTGACTTAGTTGCGTGGCTTCAGCAGCTGCAGATCTATCATCTGTATGGAAGTCTATTTTTAATTGTTTAATTCACATGAAGTAGTGTTGTATCCTTCTGTTTGAAGCACATTTGAATTAATTTGATCAAATGTATTCTGTTGTTTGTTGCAAATGCCATTATATGTGAGTTTATCCTTGAACTAACAGCCAGCTACTTTCATAACTTTCTTCCTCAGGTTGAGAGAGTTACCCATAGAGACAATTTACGGAGTTTCATACAGAAATCAGAAAACCTTGAGAAGCAATGCCTAGTAAAGGCTATTAAATCATACTGTGAGCTTCGAGTGTTGCCTTATGAGACAACCAAGACTGTTGTATTTTGAGAAGACAAAATAGAAAGTAGAGTGGATGTTGGGAGGTGAGAGTTAATTTGATTCTGTATTTACCTTGAATCATATCCATATGAATTATCCATTCAAAATATATTCACTCTTCACATATCCTGTTCTCCAGCATATATAAAAGACAGTTTCTATATGTACTACTTCATCTCAAGACAGTAGAAGGAAAAAAAAAGGGGGGAAAAACGTAGAAACTTTCCTCTGCCTTGAACTGCATATCAACAATGGATCATGCACTATATACTATCATTAATATTCAAAGATTCAAGAGAAAGCTCAGTTGTTTCAGAGTAGTTAACTTGATGCAGAAGGTTATGAATCCCTTCAACCCATTTCTGCTTTTGAATCTTGTTCTTGCACTTGAATTCTAGAATACCTTGTGCGGTCTTGAGCCCGAAATAGAGTTCATCAGAATTTTCCCTTTCTTTTTTGTATGGCCATGCCATTGTCTCATCACAGACTCCATAAACAACACCTATGTAGTATCAACAAAATGAATTTAAATTTTAATAAAACTTAACTAAACAGCATAGTTATGGACTCTGAAATAAGGGGAAATGTTATTGGGGAAAGCAAAGAATGCCTACCTTTGTTCTTCTTGCAGAAAGCTCCTCCTACATGCTTGCTTTTCAGCTTAACTATGACCTGGGATTTCTTGTTAATGTACACAGAGACATGTTTCCATCGCAGTACTCCTGAGAACAGCAATCAGAAGCACTTAGGAAACGAGTTCTAAACTGAATGATTAATTTCGAATGATTTCTATGCAATACACCCTCTTCTTTGAAGGGTGATTACCTTTCTGCGTGAGCTGTAAAAGTTCACCTTCACAAGGGGGATTCTGCTCCTTGATTTGAGTATGAAAAGCAGCAGCAGCAGCAGACCATTGAGCTTCTGCGATGCTTCTCTCGTAAGGACTTATAGCTGCGTTCTTCCTTGCTTCTTTAGGCAATCTTGATTTCAAAGCTGCCTCTCCCCTCAAAGCTAATTTAACAAAGAAAACAACTTTTGGATTAAGCTATAACCAGTAGAATTTTTAAGCGTTTTTGTTGAAGAAATCGAAGGATTTCAGAAACATACCAGTGGCAGCTGCAGCTGTGAGGGTCATCAAATCTCCGGCACTGCGAATGTCAACAGCCGATCTGACAACAGAAGCCAGACGATCGTGATCGGCCCCTGCTAATTCAGCTAACTCAATACAATGCGATGCTAAAAGCTCTGTTGCCGACGCCAATGCAACATTCATTTTTGAGCCTGTACCGCTGGAGTTTCCTGCGGCGGCCACCGCAGCCAGGCCAGCTGCTAGACCAGCAACTGAGACGGCGGAGTGTATCCTGGCGTTTTCTGCACGGACCCTATCTTTCTTCTTCCCTGCACCGGAACTAAACTCCTTGTGGTGATGAAACCATTTCCCAATCGCCCCTGTTTTTCGCCCATTTATCGAATTCACAACTTTCCCTGCCTGCTAAAAAACAAGAAAATATAAGAATCAATCTCCCAAAAAAAAAAAAAAAAAACCAAGAATGAAAAGTAAGAGTACTTACGATTTGTGGGGAAACGAAGGATTCCAGAAATGAATTTGAATTGTCATCAAAACGAAACTGCTTCTGCTTCTGGGCAAGCGCTTTAGAAATTTCTGAAGCGGAAAGACTCCATGATCGAGACAGAAACTCCATCGGCTCCTTGGGTGTTTGTGGCTGAGGAATTAATGGTAACGACACCGTGGCTCTCAGCTCTCCTTCCTCCTCTACATTCTCCAGTCCATTCATCGAGGTCGGATAAAACCCACTTTCCATTTCCACCTCTGTTTATCTTCCCCTCACCACAAAACCAAAAAGAACAAATCTTCCGATCACCGGAAAAGCTAATGAATCTAAAAGTACCTTCCTTTCAGCGAGAGCAAACTAAATGGCATGCCCAAAACAGGGCTGTTATTATATAGACATAACTTAAGAGAGGACCCAAAAAAAGTACTTGGAGACAAAATCATAAACAGGAACAAATATCAAAATCTAGTGCTCTGAACTCTCCCATGAATTCAGGTATTTTTCTTAATTAAGGAGAGTGGAGTCAAGAACAGAATTCACGAAGCTCGAAATATCAAAGCCTAAAAAGGGCAGAGCATCGTCCTGGATAAAGGGAAATGGTTTCTTAACTCCTATGCAAGAAATCACTCGTGTCGAAAAGCAGACACTTTATTAGTTATCATGATTAATTTAGTACTTGAGAAGCGAACTAAAAAGAGCATAATAACATGGTATAACTCATATTATTAAATAAATTATTAGTACGATGTTATGAGTTTTAAAGTTAAAAAAATTAATTATTAAATAATATAAAATTTAACTTATAATAAGATTTGTTTAATATGTGTATTTAAGATATAAGTTAAAAGATGTAATCGTTATATCTTTTTATAATTAATTTACATAAAAATAATAAAAATTAATTTTTATTTTAATATCATTGTAGATTAACAGTTTTAATTAATCAATTAATTAAATTTAAATTAATTTTATCAATTTTTATGTAAATTAATTATAAATATATTTATTATATT